TATTATATGAACCTTATGAATTGGGTTCGGAAATGTGTGCTACAACGCAGGTCTCGACACTATAAAACTCTATGATAATGAAGGTATAAACCGAATTTTTAAGCGCCTTGTAAATTATATACGCGTGTATTTCTTGTCCCTGCATACGTGCGCCACTGACCGATCCTACCAAGGCGCGAGGACCCGCGCCTTGATCGGTTGAAACTGATCCCCATTTTATGAAACGTGTCATTACTGGTGATGAGACTTGGGTATTTAAGTACGACCCGGAAACCAAGCGCCAAAGCATGGAATGGCATACTTCAAGGTCTCCAACACCCAAAAATCAAGACTGAGCTAGTCGAGGATCAAATGCATGCTGATTTGCTTTTTTGATAACCAGAGAATTGTCCACAAAGAGTTTGTACCTCCAGGTCAAACAGTAAATCAACACTTTTACAGAGAGGTTCTTGAAAAACTTCGAAAAAGAGTCATGCGTGTGAGACCAAACATCAAGAACAACGGGATGTTCACCACAATGCGCCTTGTCACACAGCCATTTCAGTAAACGAGTTTTTAACCAGTAAAAATATTTTTGTGGCTCCTCAGTTTCCTTATTCGCCTGACTTGAGTCCTTGTGACTTTTTTCTCTTCCCGAGATTGAAAAATCACCTCAAGGGTCGTCATGTTGGAACCATAGAAAACATTCAAACGGCTGTACCCGCCCAGCTGAAAGCTATTCCAGTATATGAGTTCCAGCACTGCTATGAGGAATGCAAGAACCGTCTCCAGCGCTGTGTGGCTTTCCAAGGAAGTTATTTTGAAGAAAACAATTATAAATCTTCGAATAAGAAATTTAAAAAAAAAAACACTCTCATTACTTAATTTACACACCTCGTATTTATATATTTTTACTTGTCTCACTCTGGTTATAAAAATTTAAATCCTTTCGAAAAATGTATTCCGTGTATGACTACGCCACTGGCGCAAACAATTGATAAACGTGTGAAATAACAAACGGGAACTGTGCCGAACAACCGCGAGACCAACTCTTTGCCGGCGTCGATAACAGAAACAACTCGTTTCAAAGTCGTATTACATTGGTAAAATAACCGAGTGTGACCATTATGTAGGTATGTATATAGTCTGGGAAACGATTGTGGATGTAAAGGAGTTCGGGACCACCGATCTGGAAACGTTTTAGATGAGTCTAAGTTTAGTACATTCAGTACATTGACTAACCGATCGCAGTAAAATATATTCGTATTATCGGGTTTCCAATCGAGAAGACGCGATTTAATACTGAAAACTTTAACGGCAAGGGTACTTTCATTGGTTATGTATAGCGTAACAAACTTTAATTCACTTCCATAGGTATCACCTATATGAAATTGAAATAAAATGAACGTTTGCAGAATATTAACATTACGAAATTACATTAAGCAATACTTATGTTTGTCACGTACCATTTATAGTTTTGGACTGACACCTTCTGATACATAGTAAAGTGACTGAACATCTGCAGCATTAGATTCGTCCCCTCCGTTCTCTCCTTAAGTCGTTTACGTCGCAGCGTAAAAATGCTCTCATATAATAATGATGAGCGTTCAGCATCTAGCAAAGAATTATTTGCGTATGCAAAATGTTCTTTAAATTCGGTTGAAGGATCTTCAGGTACAAAATTGTTGCAAACATTCCTTGGTCGATATTCGAGAGGAACGGCTGAAACTACCTGCGAGTACGGTAGGCAGTAACCCTTTCTTGTGATCCGAGCAGTCGTGCACGATACATGACGGGCGAGTTACTCGACGCCTCTGGAAGTGAAATGAGAATCTGATATTCTAGTGATGAATACATGAAACGTAATATTGGACTCAATCGCAATGTATGTATACGAGGATGCCTGAACACAAATAAAATTCCGGGGGAGAATTTGGAACTTTAAGTATTATTAAAGTTTATCGAGATAAAAAATTGATCCCAAAAGTAGGTTTATGGTTAACTGAATATTATTCGGATTTAATGATAATAACACAGGTTTACAAAAAAAAATTGTTTGGATCTGGGGTCAGACCATACGTTTCTTATGTATTTTTCGACGCTGAATTCGAATCTATTCGTCCTTAAACCGTGTTTTTTACACTTTTAGGTTAGGATATCTTCATATTACGTCTGCTTCAGTCTGAAACCCAGTTACACATTTTTCTAGACATCAATAATGAAATAAAAGTATTTGTACTATCATGTTTCCGAATCCCCTGTTCTCTATTGAAGATGTGTGTATATATACCAATTTCTGTGTGCCTGGATTATCCCATTCTTTTCATCTGATATTTTAACTTCAAATTTTCTGCAGAAGTTGCCCTTCGGAACTATTCTACCCGTGGGCATGCCCCAAATAGGTCACTCCTCAATTAACCTTGTAGATTCTTATTATCTATTCCGTGCTCCATCATTATTGGCATTAGTGCTTGAATCGTCTTGAACATCATTACCTGAACTTCTCGTATAAATATACGTAGTAGTGAATACGTAATACAGAGGCAACAAGGAAACTGATAGGTTGGCGAGAAAAGCCGGAGCATTGTCGGCCGGAACCGGCCCTACCTATTAACAACAAAACAAATTAAAGAAAATACCCGTATGAAATTTAGTAAAAAATGGGATGAAACAATCAGCTGTCAACTTCTTAGGGAGGTTTTAAGGTACGCCAACAAAGAAGCGGCAATGGTAGGTATATCTGACGATGGCCAAGACGAAACTTTGTTTTGTAATAGACATTCTCAACTTGAAGCTAATTGAAGCACCCCTTTGTAGAGACTGTCAGCAAGAAGAGAAGATCGGTGCGATATGTACCATGCTAAGAAAATATCGAGGAAAGCCTTACTGGGTGAACATTAGCCATCTTTGGCCAATATGGTAAGGGAGATACCCTTAAGCAACAATGTCACATTTTTTTTAAAACATTAGGATGGCTGACGGCTTAGATGAGTTGAACCAAAGAGGTTTGAAAGAGGAGAAGAAACAAACAGCCGAATATGCTGTGCACGAAGGCTGACAGTTTTCTGTGTTTGGGTGAGATGGGTGCGGAAGAGTTAATATATAGAAATAATAATGTCTAATATATAAAGTAATATACACGGTGGAGACTTTAACTGGAATATATCGCTAGCGGGGTGGTGAATGATTTTTTCAAAAAATTCCCGAGACACGTCAACTTTTAAATGTATTTACCTACATTTTGCAAGTAATATGAAAAATATAGCCCTTCAGGGGGTGGCTGAAACCACCCTCGACACGATTTTTTCAAATGCAACCCTATGGCTTGTGACCCCTCATTGTAAAGCTGGTGGAAAGAGGAATCCAACGCACTGATCAAATTTTAATTTTTAGTATGTTTGTAGGGTTGCATACAATTAAAACAATTTAAAAATTAAATTTATTTTCAACGTAACAATTGTTCAAAATGTGCACCATTCACTTGTTGGCAACATCCCAGTCTGTGGTAGGTTTCGTCCCTTACATTATGCAACATTTGCGGTGTTATTTTTTCCGATTTCCTCTCTTATCCTTTCCTGCAGATCTGCTATGTTGTTGGGTTTCTGAATGTAAACCCTACTTTTAAGATGTCCCCACAAAAAGAAAGGCAGTGGTGCAAGATCTGGAGCTCTTGCTGGCCACTCAATATTACCTAGCCTTCCAATCCACCTACCGGGAAAAATTCTGTCCAGATACTGACGAACAATGGCAGCATAGTGTGGTGGGGCTCCATCTTGCTGAAACCATAACCTCTCGTCGGTCAAGTTAGAGTTTAAGGGGTTTGGAAATAAATGACATAGCACTGGCATTAGTTTGTGCTGGAGTAAACGCAAGTATTAAGAGTGTCATCAAAGAAAAATGGTCCTACAATTCTATCTTGTATTACTCCGGCCCACACATTAGTTTTCTGTGGGCGCTGAGTATGAAGTTCCCTCATCCAATGGGGGTTCTCTTCAGCCCAATAACGACAATTTTGGCGATTTACGTGCCCATTTAATGTAAAAGTAGCCTCGTCAGAGAAAACTATCCACTCTAAGGATAACTGGTTTTGATCAATACAAGTCATCAATAAATCGCAAAATTCCACTCGTCGATCTGGATCATCTTCAAGTAGCTCTTGAACAGCTTGCATTTTATATGGGCGTTTTTTCTCATATTTAAGTATTTTTAAAACTGTTTTGTGATTAAGATTACTATCACGGGCCAGTTGACGGGCTGGAGTGATTGGATTTTCTTCTAGAGCAAGCAACAAATTCAACTTCGTGTCGTCATCAACAACAGCCTGCCTCTTACTCGGTACTTTCCTGACATGACCCATCTCTCGGGTGGCAAGTCAGGATGCGTTTCTCGAAACAAGCGAACAACTTCGCATTGAGTTCGCGCCCTATCACCATATCCAATCATTATCAAAATTTCGATTTTTAGTGATTCAGTTAAATAAGACATTTTAACCAATTTGAAATAACACTTCGTTTCAAACTCTGAATACAGCATACAAACTAAATTACTCTTTGCGGCCGTGTAAAAACACTAGCAAAAAATAACAAATATCAGTTGTGGCAAAAAATTGCTTGGAATTTTTTGTGGGGACATATGAAAAGGAAGGTTTACATTCCAAAACTAAATAACACACATTTTGAGTACGAAATTGTTGCGTTAAAAATAAATTAAACTATAAAATTACGTTTTAATTGTATGCAACCCTACAAACATACTAAAAATTAAACTTTGATCACTGCTTTGGATTCCTCTTTCCACCAGCTTTACAATGAGGGGTCACAAGCCATAGGGTTGCATTTGAAAAAATCATGTCGAGGGTGGTTTCAGCCACCCCTGAAGGGCTATATTTTTCACATTACTTGCAAAATGTAGGTAAATACATTTAAAAGTTGATGTGTCTCGGGAATTTTTTTGAAAAATCATTCACCACCCCGCTAGCGAATATATTCCAGTTAAAGTCTCCACCGTGTATAAAATAATCTACCGCGGCTATAGCTCAGTGGGTAAAGTGCCAGGTGAGAAGATAGCGATTACTTCGAGAGCTATTATCTGCGCGGGTTCGAATCCCGCCTGTGGCAATTGGCACCTGTCACAGCGTTTGCTCGTGTGTCCTACGTCTTTTCCATGTGTATTCTTCCTCTGCACAGTCGTAATGACTCTTAGAGGGAGAATGTCAATTTCTGTTAAAAATTAACTTAAAGCAAGTAGTAAGTTAAAAATTAAGTTACCGAAACAAATGAACAGATGCTTTATCCCTTAATCAATTCGCACTTTTTGATACCCACATTATTAGTATCATATTTAGTCTTTAGTACATCCAGGCGTTTTAAAAGTGTAATCAACAGAGAAACTCAACAAAATAATAATAATAATAATACTAATAATAAAGGTCTTTATTAGAGAAACATCTTATATATATAATATAATATCTTATAATAAAAATTGCATACATGCCATGTTTCACTTCAGGGCGAGGTTCAGTATGCCACCAAAGTGACTAACTGTTCTTATACCTAACCCTTTGTTAACCTAAAACTAAAGCTATTACTAACCTAAATACATCTAATTCGTAATAACAGAGAGAGCAAAATGAACTTAAAAGAAAAAGAAAAAAAAATTACTGCTATTACATATTATGTTATTAATATGTTTTGTTTATCAGTAGGTATACGCATATATACATATATACATACATGCACACACACAACATACATACATACATATAAATACATACGTATAACATGAACATCGTTGATGTCGACTGTCTATGTTTGCTCAGCATACAGTATACTAAAAAAATGTTTTTTAAAACCTTGCTTGTTATCAATATTAACAATATTTTGTGGTATGTTATTTAATACATTCGCTATGTTGTAAGAGAAGGAACGCTTGTATAACTCAGTGAAATGACGGGGAATTGTAATTTTATTCTTGAATCGGATGTTTATGTTATGGACGTCAGTACGAAATTTTATTTTGGAGTAAAGATATTTAGGAGTTTCTGTTTTAATAATATTGAGAAAGAGGCTAGCAGAATGTAAATTTCTTCGGTTAACCATATTTAGCCATTTGATTTCCTTAAGTTTATGAGATATGGGATTATATTTTTTTAATACCAAAAATCAAACGAAGACAGGAATTTTGCAACTTTTGAATTCGACCTATATTGACTTGTGTTAGACAAGGTCCATAGACAAATATTCAACACAAATGACAGAACTGTCAACAACAGGTAAAATCGATATTCAAGAAGTCGGAGCTTTGACGAGATGACGAGAGTGGGAACAATTGAAAGCCAAATCGACAGAATGCGCAACGGCTTTGTTCTTTGTTGTTTGTTGTTGAAATCTCCTGTGTCTTAAATCTATGGGTTGAACTCACAAGGGAGGAAGCACGAGAGGCCCAATGAGGCCTAAGTGCTGCAACCTTCAGAAAATCCAGAATATAGTGGTGATAAAGCTAATAGGGCTTCTACTGCGACTGTAGGGATAGTTTTCGTAATTCTTCCGACGACACACATGCATGTAAAGCTTCACTTAGTAGCCTGACCGCTCATCTATCTTATTTTCGTTCACCACATGGATCTTAATGACCCTCGTATATATCCATTTAATGGTTTGGCCCTCAATTCTTTCCGTACATATTTCCACTCTGCGAGACAGTAACTGAATTATTATAGAATTCAGCAACTAGCGCGCGAAGTGTAGAGACGCGCACCCAGCAACAGACGGCGTGATATATTGCGTTGCAGATAAGCATTTTCCCACAATACATATATCTTGGGAAATCTTATAGCACATTACCAATCTTCTGTGAGCGCTCCCTATTTTTCGTCGGTTAAATCGAGCTCGAGTAATTCGAGTCCATCAATAAACATCCGCCGAAATTTATGAGATGCACTGTCGCGCCGCTGCTCCATCATTCCGTCCGGCAACGCGCTGTCTTAACGGATTTTTACAGGCCTTGGAAAGCTAAGAACCGGAAGGAGTTTAGTGAAACGAAATGTAGCTTTTCCACCTTCGACTATTCGATTAGCCGTGCCTCATCGGGCTGAACGAAATTTGACAATAATTCATTAATGTAACAGGCAGGAAAAGAGAGAGTGGCACATTAATTGAGATTCAACCGAAAGATCGGAGAGTGAAAACATAGGAAGCTTGTGGAAGGATTGTACATATGTCCTATGCTTACTAGAAAGAGACGTAATTTAATTTAGGATGTTTGGGGGATAAAGAAACGTGCGAAATTTAAATCTGATGTGTAGGTATCAACTTACCATCTAAGGCAACAGTTTTCAATGATTATATAACACATTCATATCTTTACTGAAGAAGCACATAGTGCAGATATAAATAAAAGACGAAGTATTATATTTTATCATATTTTGTAGTACCAGAAACGTATATATTTTTAATTATATAATATTGTATATAATTTAATTCTTCCAGTGAATATGAACTACTTTTCAGCATAAAATAAAAATACAAAAAAATGTATACGTATGTAATTAAGTTAAAAAAATAATAAAAAAAACGCACATATTTACATTTCGATCTCCTTTGAAAGATTGAAAAACGCAAGGTGGCACCACTGCCAGTTTCTCACTATAAAAATTGTAGGCTCAAGATTCACAGAATAAAGATAAAGATTAGTAATGAAATACCTATACAAACACTTTGAAATAATAATAATTTTAAACGGTAAATTAAAAATAAAAAACTTTCAAAACAATATTCAAAATTGGCATACCTGTATAGACCTGGATTTTTATTATTATTAGCTTTGTTCGCAGAGCCAGTTTGTGATAGTTTTCGACGGTAGTTGTCGATCTGAGTTTTGTAGTAAATGGAACAGGTTAGAAAGACGAACGCAATTGGCCCAGTATTTCAGACGCTTGGAAACTATCAGAAATGTTTCTATGAACAAATATGTAGTATTATTATTGCTATTTCGTTAAAAACATGTCTGATGGCAATATCAAATCACTTTCATATTACTTCTGAAACTGTAGAGCGAGCCACATTAGAAATGATTGCTGTGCTTCCAATTTTTCTTCTCTCTAATCTTTGATTTGACCAACCAGATGCCATCTGGTGCTAACCACTGAGATTTAGAATAGACTAGAGGGAATGCGTATATTGTCATAACCTAATGTCAAGCGATCATATTGGTGTAATCGTAAACGAAGCAGTGTTTTTTTATTTTACTGGTAATCTGTCTTTTTAAGAGCTAAACACTATTATATAGTAATACTAAGTATATGGTGCTCGACAAATATCTCGTTAGTCCTAACGTTATCTATTAAGTGAAAGAAACAGATGCGCCATCTATGCAGGTTGTTTGGAATTTCCAAGGACTTCAAAAGTAAAAACGAATATATCCTATCATGGTATAGTCCTTCTAATTTTAATTGAAAATGGTAAATACGCCTGGGGAACAAAAAAAGCGGTGCAACTTTATGATTCCATGGGCGTGCATATATCTTTTTATAAATTCGAAAATTGTGAAATAATGTTTTTCATTCAAATCAATATAGGAGATTAAAATTAGCCTTCATACAAAACTCTTAATATTTATAATATAATTTGCTGTAAATATTGCTCATTTAGCCAGACAATCTCAAAAAATTGTCTGTGTTAATAAACCTAGCTGAAATACACGTCACTGGCGTCTTAAACAAGTTGAGTGCCTAAAGTCGTAAATCATTTTAACGACGTCGTAACAATTTTATGGCACAGTGGATCGAAGAGGTATTAGCAATGTATTAAATGCAAAGTAGTCTAATAGTCTCGTTGACCGGTGTTACCGCCAGTGGTTTATTACTCTGTGCCGCCAGCCGCCTGAGCCGCCGTTGCCGGCTCTTCAAAATTTTCATAAGTATAGTAATATACATAAAGTTGTTTGAATTTATAATTATTTTTTTCCAGCAATTTTAAACGCTTTATTTTAATGCTGACTAATAAATTTATATCCATGTATTTTTTTTAAATATTTCCAAACTAGCTTTCTAAGAACGTCACGAACTAACAGTTTACTGAAGTATGAAGTGTACTTGTATAGTGAGTTTAGCAATTTTAGAAAATATATCTGACAACCTTGCTTTTTTCTACCTATTTTCAATTTAGAATGGAAATAGAGTACATTTGTGTGCAATATGGCTTCAAAACTGCACTAGATTTGAGGATCAAAATGCGCCGATGGTGATGAAAACATTATTTATTGGTGATTGCATTGAAACCATGATCTGCCTCCGCACGGTGTATTTTGAGTAACGCTAACAGATCCAGCCTAATGATTCACCACTCATTTTCTAATTAAATAATTCACTATTTAAGCCATTCACCTTTGACCAGGCATTGCACACCTAAACAATAAACAATGGATGTTATTCACGGCTTCCGTGGGTAAATATAAAGAAAATTCCTAGCGTACGTACCTGGATGGAACGAAAATCGTCACGACTTACGGACCCTTACGAGTCGCCTCTGGAATCAAGTCACTTTCATCGACTATGTTATTAAGCTATCAGGGATCTCAACCCGAATTCTGGTCCAGATAATTCTTAATCCTTTCCTGTTCCACTCTTTAATCGCGACACTTCTTCGGTATAATTACCGCCCGCGAGAGAGAGACGGCGCGGGAGAAGAGCGAGAAAGAGGGATGGCCAATCAAATTCCTCATTAAATGATAACGTTTAATATCCGGAACTGACGAGCGGAGAACTAAGAGGAGCTAATCGAGTCGAAGGATTTGCCAAATTTTGATGGAGATTGTAGCGATTGGGCCATTGGAATAGTTGGGTTAGTTGTCTTAAATTCGAGAGGGTTCGGGACGTTAAATTTTATTGAGAATAATACTAGGAGTACTCTGTTGGCGTTCAGAGTTTACTAAGACATGGTTAGTGGAAGTAGCTGAAAGAGAAATTGGGATCTAACGTTACAGTAATTACTAAATGGATGAAAAATCGAGGCTATTATTAGCTTCGATTTTTAACAACATATTCTAGTTAGCAATTGTTTATAAGTACTCGTTTCCGTTTTTACTTTACTAATAAATCTTTTTTTTTCCTTCTTTACTC